CTGTCTATCTTGCCATGAAGCCAGGAGAGTAATTAAACTAGTAGTTGTAATGCATTGTAATGACAGTAATGCTAAGAAAGCACAGACTGCTGTAATGACCCTGATGTAGTCTGGGGTCCAGGGAATGGCTTCATGAAGAGGTCTAGTTTAGGATGCAGTAGGCACTAGAGAAGGAGTGGAGAACAGTATTCCAAACAGAGCATATAATGAACAATGAGTGAATAAAGGCAAAAAAAAAAAAATGAGTGGGATGTTCAGGAAAATAAATGTGGTTTTTGTTTTCATTTTTTTATTGTGTTTTTAGACTTTGAGAAGGATCATGGTTAGTCTGAGGCTGAAATAGGTAGACCCCAGAACATATGAGCCACTTTAAAGAGTTTGGACTTTATCCAAAATGAAACAGGAATCAATTGAATGGTTTTATGCAAGGGAAAGTGCCCGATCAATATGGTTTTTTTAAAGGGCACTCTGGCTGCTGGGTGGATAATGCATTGGGATGGAGGTTGACTTAAGTCAAGACTGGTTAGGAGGCTGCTGAAATAATAATTCAGGACAGGACCACAGTTTTGACAATGGGAATGGAGAGGAGTGAAAGGAATTGAGAGAAAAGAAGATGTAAATTAGCAAGGCTCAGGGCTGATTTGATCTAAGATTGAATGAGAGGAAGAACAGAGGATGATATTGAAGTTCAGCTCAGGAACGGTAGTGGTTACACTGTGATAAGAAATTAGGTAATAGGGATCCCTAGGTGGCGCAGCAGTTTAGCGCCTGCCTTTGGCCCAGGGCGCGATCCTGGAGACCCGGGAGCGAATCCCACGTCGGGCTCCCGGTGCATGGAGCCTGCTTCTCCCTCTGCCTGTGTCTCTGCCTCTCTCTCTCTCTCTGTGTGACTATCATAAATAAATAAAAAATTAAAAAAAAAGAAATTAGGTAATAACAGGTTTGAGGAGTTAAATGATTTCATTTGGAGATAAGCCAGGTTTGAGATGCCTGGAAGTCATCTAAAATGAAGGTGTTCACCAAGCTGCCAGTTTATACAGATACAGAATTCAGTAGGGAGATTAGACCTAGAAATATGGATTTGGAGGTATGCGGCAAGTAGGTGGTAATTGAAACCATTGGAAGGATTTGGTCATCCAGAGAAAATGAGAATAATAGAACCTTGTGGAACAAAGCTAGACAAGGAAAGGGTTAAGAGAAAGTGAGCCCCCAAGATGACTGAGAAGAATTAGTCTGAGTGGTAAAGCAACACCTTGAGAGGGTCCTGAGTTGGATAGTACCAAGGATTGATTGGGAGGGAGGGAGAAGCCAGCAAAACTCTTTGCAGCTTGTGAAGGTCAAGCAGCCCAGGGACAGAGAATGCTCCACTGAATTTAGTGACAAGGATGAGAGTGTTTCCCTGCGAGTTTAGGGGGTGAGTGACTTTAGCACTCCCATTTTCTTCCTTTCCTTAGCAATCAGATCACATGGCCTGTGGGCACTGTGTAAAAGTCAAGAATTCACGGAACTGGGGGGAAGACCTCTTCTCTGAGTCAAGTGTATGAGCTGTAGGAACAGTGATTGTGATCCTTTAGGAGCTATTTTGCTCATTTTTAACCCTCCACTTTGTTACTAAGTGGTATAGATTGCTTAGTCTTAGAGAGATAAGATATTTGATTAAGTTATTGAAATATTTCTCTTTTTAAAATAAAAATCCAATGAAGCAAAAATGTTTTAGTGCATAAGGATTAGCTGTAATTCTCCAGAACTCCACAAGCATTAACATTTCAATCAAGGAAAGTTTTGCTTATATAAATGTGACATTCTAATTTCATTGAAAACAAAAAAGCACCTTCAGAGTTTGAATATACAATTTTATCCTCATGAACAGAAGGGGATCTCCACTTTAGGACACTGTTATTTGATCAATAATGAATATATTGTTATGGACAATTCTAGAGGTCAAGATTTTTTTTAAAGGACCAGGAATAAGTCATTCTTTATTTTGATAGCCTTGCTTTGGTTTTTGAGGGACTCTCTTTTATTTTTCTCTTGTTTTTCCTCCCTTATTTTCAAGCTTTGAGTTTTGAGTGGCAACATTCCTTAAATTCAGTATCATGAAGAATAGTAGAAAGATCAGGGCACAATAGACAGGGAACAGATACCACTGTTGGTTTAGATAAGCAGCCCTAGTGCAGATATTGGAAAAACTTTGATTCTCCCAGTACTCTTAGGAAATTATGGCAGTCTGCATCCTAATATAACCTGCTATAGGATGGATTTCCATACAATGTGAATTTGCCTTGTGCATCTCCAAAAGATGTTTAGTCCTTAGAATCAATAAGATTTTACTGGCAAGGCAAAATAATAGGGTAGAGCTTGACCTCCAAATTTGAATTCTGGTTTCAAGACATATTTACTGTGTGTCTTAAGTTTTTTAACCTCTCTAGCCTCAGTGAAATGGGGGAAATAATAGAGTCATCCTCTTCGAGTTGGTTAAATAAGTTAACATTTTTAAAAAGAGCAACACGTAGTGTAGTAGGCACAATATATGTTACATGCAGAATTTTACACAGTCCCATGACAGACCTGTGTTAATAATGAGAGTGCTTTTTATTATGAGTAAATGTTTATTGAGCTCTACATTGAATGCATCATTATATTTAAAAATATTATTCCAGTTCTAATAATGAGTAGAAGGTAAACATAAACACTCTCTTGCTTTGGCCTTCCTTTGATGAAATAAATCACCCAGTGTATCTGGCCAGGATGACTGTTCAACTGTATCTTTTTTTTTTCTTTTTAAAGATTTTATTTATTTGAGAGAAAGAGCACCCATACCCACAAATGTGGTGAAGGGGCAGAGGGATAAGCAGGCTCCCTGCTGAGCCAGGAGCCTGAGGCAGGGCTTGATCCCAGGACCGTGAGATCATAACGCAAGCCAAAAGCAGACACTTAACCAACTGAGCCACCGAGGTGCCCCTGTTCAGCTCTATCTTTTATGTATGCCTTCAACATGCCCAAAGCACTTCATGACTTTAAAGATCCATATAACTCAAGGGCTAAGTAATCCACTGCATTCTTGCAAAGAGACCTCAGACCATGGTGCCACTGGATGCTTAGAACCCGTGAGTTATATTCCAGAGGGAAATGCCCCATTTTTTCAGTTCTGTATCACTTAGTCTATATCTGGTATTCTCCTTTAAGCTCTCAAAGTACCCTTGGCAAGCTCTATTATCACCAGTGTCATTGTCATAATTAGTCATGGTGGTGGTCCTTTATATTTTAAGAATACACACACACACACACACACACACACCACTTGTTCTCTTGTGAAATGGATTATTATTCTTGTTTTATAGAAAAGGAATCTTAAGCTCAAAAAAGGTAATATTGCAGGATGCCTGGGTGGCTCAGAGGTTGAGCGTCTGCTTCAGCCCAGGGCCTGATCATGGAGACCCGGGATCGAGTCCTGCATTAGGTTCCCCGCAGGGAGCCTGCTTCTCCTTCTGCCTATGTCTCTGCCTCTATCTCTGCCTCCCTCTCTGTCTCTCATGAATAAATAAATAAATGTTTAAAAAAAGTAATATTGCTTGCCAGTGGACACACAGAACAGGAGTGATAGAGCTGGAACTGGAGGCAGTCATCCCCCTTCCCCTGTTTTTATCAGCTGATATAAAACTATGAGGTAGGATAATGGACACTAATCAGGAAAAAATGACTAAAATTGGTTAAGGGGGAGGAAAGCCCTTTGCAAAGCAATATTTAATATAAGGTTGTTTTTGTAAAAATATTAATGATAATCAAAGTGGAAGAGAAAGAAAGTATGGTTAGTATGTGGAAAAGGTGTTCCTGTAAGGGTGCCTCTTCTACTCCCGGGGAAGTGGTGGCCGGGACAGGCTGAGTAACTTCACTGATTCCACAGACATTCATTCAGAAACTATTTGTTGGACTTACCCTCTGAATGGGCCTCCAAGTGGGTTTGCCAGTTCCCATTCCTTTGCTTTCCCTGAAAGCAGAAACAGAATACTCTCCTGCTTATTTGGTAAACAGAGAGTTCCCAACTAACCAGTGTGGGGCTGGATACAAAGTTCTTGCACACACCACTTCCACTCTCTCAGACCTGTGTTTTCACCCCGAGCAAACGGCCTGGCTACGAGAACCAAGTAGGTCACCTGGGTTCACAGTCCAGGCTCCTATGTAGGCTTGCTGCTCCTACTGGTCTCACTGCCTTCACTGCATTCCAATACCTCTCAAAATTACAGAGGAAAAAAAAAATAACTCCAGACATTTGAACGAGTTAGATATTGCCATTTCACAGCTGCAGAAGTTTCGATGGTAGGATCCGTGTACAAAAATAAATAGATAGAAGATAGATAGATAGATAGATAGATAGATGATAGATAGATAGATAGATAGATAGATAGATAGATAGATAGATAGATATAGATAGATAGACAGACAGATATTGCCATTTTACAGCTGCAGAAGTTTCGATGGCAGGATCATGTACAAAAATAAATAGATTAGATAGATAGATGATAGATAGATATAGATGATAGATAGATAGATAGATAGATAGATAGATAGATAGATGATAGATAGATATTGCCATTTTACAGCTACAGAAGTTTTGATGGCAGGATCATGTACAAAAATAAATAGATTAGATGATAGATTAGATAGATAGATAGATAGATAGATAGATAGATAGATAGATATAGATAAAAACAAATAAATAAAACCAACACCCAAGCACATGTGGTATCTCTGCTGCAGTCTGGGTTAGAGAGATTGAAGTTCACAGATTCATTTCGGGAGCCTTAGCTGCAGAAATGGGGGGGGGGGTGCGGCCCCGGCACCACGTGCCTGAGCACAGCAGCTCCTGGGCCTCCCGCGGCACAAAAGGCTCCGGTCTTGTGTCTCGTTGGGTCGGGCCAGTGAGGTGGTTCGCAGACCAAGCACACACATGCTGACTGTCTGTTGGTGTCCCTTTGTGTTTCCTCCGCGTGGCGCTCCAGGTGGGGGAGTTCCGAGCCCACGCGGCGGAGTGGACGGCCAACGTCACAGCCGAGTTCAAGGAGACCCGGAGGCGCCTGAGCGTGGAGATCTACGACAAGTTCCAGCGGGCCACCTCCATCAAGCGGAAGCTGTCCGCCGAGCTCGCAGGCAGCCACAACCAAGAGCTGACCCCCTGCCGGAGGACCCTGTCGGTGAACCACCTCGCCACCGAGAGGGACGTGCTGCCTCCCTTGCTGAAAACGGACAGCATCTATTTGAACGGATTGACGCCACACTGTGCGGGCGAGGAGATTGCTGTTATCGAGAACATTAAATAACCCTCTCTTTGAAGAACCTTAGGCCTAGCCGTAGGTGAGGACCTCTGTATGCTCTTTATGACTGTTGCTGGTAGCGTTTTAAAAAAAAAAAAATTTGTGCATGAGCTCCAAAGGGGGAACAGAATATAGATAACACCCGTCATGGCCATGTGCCATCTGGCGAATTTGGAATTCTGAGCCAGCACTATCTTTCTGATGATGCTTGTGGAGCGGTCCACTCTCTTTGACAAGTGGAACAACACAAGCAATGTCTGATGCCTTTTTGTGCCCAGACTGTTTTCCTCCCTCTTTTCATAATGTGCCATAAGGCCTCAGAATGAATTATAAGTGTCTCTGGTAGTAATGTAGCTTCGAGGGATCAGTCCTTAACTTTTCAGGGTCTACCTAACTGAGCCTAGATACGGACCATTTATGGATGACAACGTTTCTTTTTGTAAATGGCAAGAGATTCTTATGCAGCCTTTTACCTAAGAAATTTTCTGTCAGTGCCTTATCTTATGAAGAAACGGAACCTCTCTAGCTAATGTGTGGTTTCTCCTCCCCCGCCCCACCCCTAGGCTCACCTCTGCAGCCCTTTATCCCACCACTCCCGTTTGAATACCATCCCTTGCTGGAAACAGCGTGTAAACTGACTGAAGTGATGATGCCCGAAGAAGGAATAGATGCCAAATTAGATGGACATTGAAGCAACACTCAGAAATTCTAGCATTAAAGGCACTGCAAAGAAATGAGGTGTGCAGATGGTCCCTCTGAGTATTTATTTGACTCAGGTACCAGTGGTACATACACACAGCGTATTGGTTTCCAGCCTGGTAAAATTGGCTGCTCCAAACAGTCCCTTCTTTCCTGGCAGTATTTGGAATTTATCATTTATTAAGAACTACACATTTTGAAAGGTGGAAGCAGAAGAAAAAATAACATATGTGCATATGTTATTTTTATATATAATATTATATATATTATATATATAATCTGACAAAAGAAAGCTGTTAAACACGGATCTTTTGGAGGCGATTTAAGACAATTGCTGTGAATTGCCCTTCTGAGGAATAGAAGATAGCATGATAATGTGTTAACGACCATTTGCTAATAAACGTTATACTGCCAGCACCTATTTGCTTTTTTTGATGGGAAGGCTTATCTGATTTTCTCTCCCCAGGTGACTTTTGCCAAACAGGAAGGTGATGCTGTAGTCAGAGTTGGGTACAGCCTTGCCTTGTGTGGGTGTCCCTCTGGAGCTGTGACTGAGCATGAGAGCAGTTGAAAGTGGGATCATTGTGATATTGCACATGGAAAAAAAATGCAGATTGCAGGCATAATTCGTCTTTTGACATTAGAGAAAAAGCTGTTCTAGCACAATTTAAATCTTGAGATCTTGAGAGTTTTTTTTTTTTTAGATAGAAAAGGCTGATAACCCTTTTTAGTTGAATTTTATATCCTGTAACTCTTTGGATGTTTCCAAGATTCAGAAGAAATTCATTAAAGGCACCTAGTAGATTGCTACTCTTTTATTTTCATACTTAGATCTGCTGTACATTGTATATATAATTTTTCAAATGCAGAAAGATGACTTCCCCGAATACAATTGCAAAGCATTTCTTTTATTCTGGGAACAAGGGTGGTGGAAATATCTGAATAAGAGGCATTCCAGTTAGGATCTTAAAAAATAACCGAGGATCTTAAAACAAACATCTAAATAGATGCTTATTTTCCAAAATTTACATTTAACCTAGATGTGTAAATATTCATTTAACTTGTTGAAGGTACTTTTATAAACTTAAAAATTCTAACCAAATTTTTAGAAAGTCAGGCTCTTTTAGAGAGAAAGCTACACCCATTTCCTCAATAACTGTTCTGAAAGTCCATATGGTGGAATGCACCATGTATAAACTGTGAATTGTATTGACAAATAAAGTTTGTAATTAAAGTCAGCATTTTTCTGAGTCTCCTGCTTGCTGCTGAGAATGTAGATGGGATTCTAGGGGAGTGGAACTCCAGGATGTTGCTTTTCATGCTGAGTTTTCTGTGGTTCCTTCGTTCACAATATTCAAGAAATATTTTTGATGCAGTCTTACTACCCTTGTTAAATATGTGCAGAATGTTCTTCCTCGTGACTGTTAACCAAGAGTAAATATCCAGAAAACTGCCTTTTGAAATAGGATATTTTAAATGGCATGTAAATTCAAGATTGTTTCTATTAAATTATGACATGTTAATATCTTATTTTATCATTGTTAGACCTTGTCTCGACACTGAAGTAATCTAAATCCCAAGAACAGGCACCTGAATATTTTTTGCAAGGGAAAAAAACAATCAAATATCCTGGTAGTTGCTGAATCTAGTCTTCTGGACCTCATACCCCCAAATATTTGAACAACATAACTTATCTGTATCTTGCATAAATTTATTGATTGATCCCCAAACACCTTCATTCTCAGTAAATATCCCAACCAGTAAACTGGTTCCCAACATTACCCTAAAAATTGGGGAAGATCTAAGAAAAACTGTATTCTAGCAGTTTTATTTCCTCAAGCTTTAATGTATTTACTTACTGTGGAGAGAACATAGAGACGGATTTTGACATAGTCTAGAATTTTCTAGTGAATTTCTTTTTTCACTGGACCAGTTTAAGAGTAAGTAGTTTTACCCTGAGGAATATCTGAAAGAAAAAAAAAATAAGTACTAGAACCAGCAAGGAACCCTTTGATATGAAATCTTAGACATGGATTCTAGACAAAAATTCCTCTATCTTACAGCTATTAAATGTAAAAGGATTGGAGTTCTTTCCACTTCTTATACAAATCCATATATTTTGCTATCTAGTTAATGTCACCTATCCTTTTTTCAATAATATTTCACATTCATAATAGAGGAAGAAGTGAAACTGCTAAAGCCAAGATGGAGTTGAATCACTTGTGTCTTACCCGTCAAAAAAGTGGGAGCAGTGTGTGTGTAGGACTTTGTTTTTCAAATTCTAAGGAACGCACGACATAAAAGAAAGACTAAATACCACCTCACGTTGTATAAAAAAATCTGTAGAATTCTTTGATTCTTAAGGCTAGAGTCTTAAGCAGACTAAGGGAAATTTTAGATAGAATACAAAAAAAAAATAGCCATTCTGAAGACCTGAGGTAGCTATTTATGCCTAGGAACTACAGACTTAGATCAACTTATATTTTTGTTTTCTTTTAAAAAAAATGTTTGCTGTTCTAGTAAAATCATAACTTATTTGTGATTTGCATTCCTTATTATTAAAGTGCAAGTATAAATTTGCTTTTGTATAAAGTAAAAGATGTCTCTATTTGAATACTCATAATTCCATTAAAATTAATATATGATTTTGCTCCAGCATGAGTTTACTTAAATGTCCTTTTATAGTGAAACTTACTGGCCTTGCACATGCTCATGTGTCAGTTTCAAGATGGAACCTGGTTACTTTTAGTAGGGCCTTCTGAGGGTAACTCACTTATTGTGGTTTTCTTATTAAGGGGAAAGGTTCCTAAACTCCCTGTGCTTCCTTCATCCCACCCTACCACAAAGGTTTATCCAGCTTTTGTTTCACACATGACACTTCCCCACCCAGATCTCAACTATGCCTTCTCAAAAGACAGGGATTAGTTCCAAGGAGCAGGAGTTTTGATTCTGCTCTTTTATCTGACTCAGCACCATTTGTTCACTAAACTCCAGTTTTTACAGTTTCTAATATTCATAAAACCATTGATTTTCCTAGTATTAGCATTATAAAACATTTTCACTATGTCATGTTTGTCTCAATTTTCAACTATTTTTTTCTTTTTATCTGTAATTCCTTTCCAAAGTAGTCCTCACTGCCTCATCTTTATTCTTTCTCTTTTGCACTCTTAGGCTTGGGTTTCTCTCTAAGACCCAAACCATCTAGCCAGTTCCCATTGGCTATCTCCACTTCTCAAATGCATTTCAACATATCCAAGCCTCCTCTGATTTTTCTCAGACCTGGCCTTCTTGGTGTCACCTTTTTCAACAAATGGCACCACTATCCATCTACCTGGCCATTAGTCTTGATGTCCTTTCCCCTTCAACTCCACACCCACTTTTTTTAAAAATTTCTTTTTATTGGTGTTCAATTTGCCAACATATAGAATAACACCCAGTGCTCATCCCATCAAGTGCCCCGCTCAGTGCCCATCACCCAGTCACCCCCACCTCCCCTTCCACCACCCCTAGTTTGTTTCCCAGAGTTAGGAGTCTCTCATGTTCTGTCTCCCTTTCTGATATTTCCCAATCATTTTTTCTCCTTCCCCTTTTATTCCCTTTCACTATTGTTTATATTCCCCAAATGGATGAGACCATATGATGTTTGTCCTTCTCTGATTGACTTATTTCACTCAGCATAATACCCTCCAGTTCCATCCATATCGAAGCAAATGGTCCATACCCACTTTTCACCAAATCCCTACTGACTTGCATCCTGAATATGAATTTGAATTTGTACACAGCCACTACCTTTATCCAAGCCATCACCATATATCTCCTCTTGTACTAACTACTTTTGCATTATTTTCTGCTGCTGACATTGATGGTAGAGTGATCTTTTTAACACAAATCTGATTGTGTTACTCTCCAATGTAAATCCACTAATTGTCTTTCACTTTTATGGAAAACCTGAACCCCTCACATGGCCTACAAGGCTTTCTTTTGATCTACTTTATGCCATCATCTTCAGATTCATCTTGTATCACTGCCTACTTCTCTGTATCCCAGTCACTGTATTTCTTTGATCACATCATGCCACTGTTGTTCCCTTTGCATGGAATGCTTGTTCTCCTTTTACAGGTCAACCTTTTTCACCTAATAAACTTTTACTCATCTTTCAGAACTCATTGCCTCTGATAAGCCTTCCCTGCTACCAATTCAGATACCTTTGTAATATACTGTATAAAATCCTATTCCTTCCCCTCAATTTATGATTAGATATTCATCATTATTCTTATTTATCTGTCTTTCCCACTAGAATTAATTTATTGCTATCTTATTTCCAGATCCTAGCCAAGTACATATATAGTAGGTGCTCCAAAAATTCATGGCGAACAAAAGCATAAAAACAAGGATTTAATTGTAAGAGTCTTACACACACTTGTGTATAAGTATCCCAAGTTTTCCCAGCTCCACAAACATTTGTCCTCTTCTACTGGGTTAGTAGTAAATAAGGCATAGATAGTAGTTATTTCTACTATTAACTTACAAGCTGGTAGTAGTTACTCATTGTGTAGAAAAAAAATCAAAGCCAATTCTTCAACCAGCAAGACTTTCAGTTTGTCATACATTTACTCCTTATAAGCAAAAGTTTCATTATTTTCATTTCCAATTTTGGCTCACAATAGATACCATTGAAACTTTTCAATTATAATTTAATCTTGAAAATTTGTTTAGAAATTAATTGTAAAACATATTTGCCAATACTAGTAAATGGATGCCTCTTATTAGTAGAAAGCTAAATCCACATTTATTTCTCCTTGCCAAATGAAATTTAGCTTTCTCATGCTTAAATTTATAAGCAGTCTGGGAAGAAATCCATTATTGGGCACATTTTGAACCATATCCAATAGAGAATATTAGTCACTTACATGGTATAATTGTAAAATTAACTAACAGAATAAACATTGGTTTTCATGTAGTTGATGCCTGACTTTTTGCAGATGGCATTTCTTCTTAAACTATACAATTAATAGGAAGTAGCTCATAGATGATTTTTATCATATTATCTATTTTATTTTAAAATATCTTATATGTTTAAATATTTTTGACATTAAACTGTATGTTTCTTGATTTTTATTAAAAACTTTTAAATGAACAGGATGCCTGGATGGCTCAGTGGTTGAGTGTCTGCCTTTGGCTCAGGGCGTGATCCCAGAGTTCCGGATTCCCACATCAGGCTCCCTGGCAGGGAGCCTGTTTCTCCCTCTGCCTAAGTCTCTGCTTCTCATGAATAAATAAATAAAATCTTTAAAAAAATTTAAATGAGCATCAGTGGCAATGTCTGGTCCAGATTCAAGTTTTATCTTTGCCCAAGTATGTCAGAATTGGAAAGATAAAGCATCAAGATACTGTCATTAACCCAATTAACCCATCTTGTTTCTCAGTCAGGTACACAAATTCAGAGTTTACACATGCATTGAGAAGGTTTAATGTCACCAATGCCTAGATATATGCAAGTAGATTAGCCAAGTGTATGACTCTCTTCAATGATTATATTGTATGTACAAACAAAATATTACCCAGCTCATGGTTTACCAAGTCAACATTTTTCAAGAGCCTTTATTGTGCCAATTACTGGAAATACTAAGCCAAGTAAATGTCTGCTCTCTGGAAGATAGCAGTCCATGGGTCAGAGAGTGATGTACAGTACAGATAGAGGGAAGCCTCTCAGTGCTGAGGAGCCCTGATCAAAAGGCTCTTGCCTTTTTAGGGACTTGGGAGGCTGAAGCTAGAGAAGAGAGAAGGGCTAACAGTGGAGAGACACAGGGTGCAGAAAGGACTCCAATGAGGCCCCAGTAAGGAGGCCTCCAATTGGAGGTACCTGCTTCTGAGTCCTTGCCTGCTACTCCCTCTGGAAAATGACAGTGGGCTGGTTGTGGTTAGGGAAGCTTCCCCCATGCTGCCTGCCAAGCAAAGGCTTGAAACTACCCATGGTTGGGCCTGAAAGGTCACACACAGGATTTTAGCTTGGAGTCAGACTCTTCAGAAGGAACTGTGTTGCCAATCTGAGAATTTTGGATTTGGCACTGGAAAGACATTTCAAGCCTTAAAATAGGGAGTGATGTGAATCCATCTGTATTTCTAGAATGATCACTCTGGCGATGGTATGGGGTAGATGCTGAGTAGAAAGAGCTGGGATGCATAGCAAGAAGTCAGAGCAATCTGGGGTGCTCCCTGAGGAAGGGATTCAGATCTA